AATTTTCTGTATCCTTTTTAATAACACAGAAATGGCACCTAACCATAGCTTTATTCCTGCAAATCGTCTTACATCGGGTACGGCCATACATCCCAGGAAAGGGAACTTGCGAGGTAACCTTGGGGGCTTATCGCACAGGGTCAACAGAATGAGCCCCAACACAAGATATAGCCACTTTTAATTATAAGCCTCGAATATACCAATACAAGTTTGCATGAGAATGACCACTCGCAGAGATGACGACATGCCACTCAGCCGGGGCCCGCCCTGTAGGGAGGAGTTGCGTGGGGCCAGAAATCAGCACTGATCGGCAGCCTCTTGTTCACTGACAGTTGGAAATGTGGATGAATAGCGATGCACATTGTAAAGTGATTAACGGCGGATGCAAAGTAGGCAGAGTACGGGCGTTGCCTGCGTGTTCGGCCGAAGGTGCAACTGGTCCAGTCTGATGCTAACGGCGCTGCGACGCTCTTCGGCCGCAGGTTTTGACTTCATTTACTCTTGTGTGTGTACGTCACCTTGTTTCTTGCCTTGAGGGCCCTCGTGNCGGCGGCTTCTGAAGTGTATTCGCAAGTGGCCACCACGCTTCTTGGCGGCTTCTCCATATACGAGGCGTCACATAGCCATTCGATATTCGCTCTGATTCTGCTGGGGAACCTAAGGGGGCTGCAGCCTAGCGGCTCAGCGGACTGGAGTGGCCGCGGACGCCAGAACACTGATATCTTGTTTGCCTTTACCTACAGTATGGGAGCGACATGACAGGTTCCTTAAGACGGGCTTGGCTTGGCTCTGTCTAATTCCAGCAGGAGGTGACGGGGGCATGCCCTGGACACCGTTGTACCGGCGCTCCACCGCGTAGCGTTAGGCGCTGGGCTTAACTGCAGCGAAGCTTACAGGGTGGTCATTAGTGGCTCCGCTGCCTACAGAGCGCCTCCCAAGCGTCCTCCCTGAGGCAGTGGCTTCTCTGAGGCTTCGCTGCGCTGATGCTGCCTCAAAGCCATGCTCACTCCGGGGGTTCGCAGGACGCAGCGGCCATGCAAGCCAACGTATACGCCCATCGGGTTGTCTCATCCATACCCGCAACGGGTTCGGATGAAAAATCCAGTAAAGTCGAACCTGAGGCTTCTTTTGTCGCAGCTGCTGACGTAGCGGCGCGTGGCGTACCTTCCTCTACCAAGCATCCACTTCAAGAAGTGCCAGACAGCCCAGCGGGCCTCCCCGGAGTGTTGCCTGGCAAGGCGCTGAAGCACGCGGATGGCATCAAAGATATTCCGCAGGATGGAGGCTGCAATTCTCCGCCAGCTGACACCGAATGCAGTAACGATAAGCCAGGCCAGCATCATATCGGGCTTCAACAGCTGGCTCTTCAGGCCGCGCTGCTGCTAGTGTCTTGGGTCTTCCTCGCCCTCATCCAAGCCAACGGCCGTCCACTGCTGCTCCTTGTAGCCATTGCTTTATCTCGCCTGCATCTTGGATGGCTTCTGTGCTGCAGTTTGCGCATGCTG